ACGAAAATATTTTAAGTTATCTTATTATGCTATTACTAATGTTTATAACATTATAGTAATTATAATTTCTATAATGAAAATAACACCATCGATATTCAGAGCATTAGTAAAAAATACGTTTTTCCTGCCAATTCAAGGAAAGGTGAAATTAGGTACGGTCAGAAGGTCTACTAATTAACTCATTTGTGGCTAGGCACTAGCAGAGCCATCTATGTACAGAGACATTTCACACACACACACACACAGACACACACACACACACACAGACACACACACACACACACACACACAGACACACACACACACACACAGACACACACACACACACACAGACACACACACACACACACAGACACACACACACACACACAGACACACACACACACACACAGACACACACACACACACACAGACACACACACACACACACAGACACACACACACACACACACAGACACACACACACACACACAGACACACACACACACACACAGACACACACACAGACACACACACACACACACAGACACACACACACACACACACAGACACACACACACACACACAGACACACACACACACACACAGACACACACACACACACACAGAGACACACACACACACACAGAGACACACACACACACACAGACACACACACACACACACAGACACACACACACACACACACAGACACACACACACACACACAGACACACACACACACACACAGACACACACACACACACACAGACACACACACACACAGACACACACACAGACACACACAGACACACACAGACACACACAGACACACACAGACACACACAGACACACACAGACACAGACACACACAGACACACACACACACACACACACACACACACACACACACACACACACACACACACACACACACACACACACACACACACACACACACACACACACACACACAGAGAGAGAGCACAGCATTTTACCCATTCTTTTTTATTAATTTTCAGTGGCATGTGGTTAACATAGAATGTCAGGTTCTTTTAGATTGGAGAGCCCTTAGTGTGATGTCTAGTACAAATTGTTGGTCTGATCCAAGACACTGTTATTGACAATTATTCATAAACAAAATAATAATGTGGTTTCTGTAAGGAAGAAGGCTGTATTAATAGCTTACTTGATTGGTTGGAGCAGAAGACAAATGGGAGTTAAGGGATCCTAAAATTCTTAAGAGATAGAAATTGCTACTAAAGAATGCTGGAGAAAGTCGCTCTCAAATCCTTTATTATCTTACTTGTAAAGTTACTGCTTTTTCTATTTTCTCAGACTTAATATAGACTTATTGGAAGTCTTAATAATTTGTTGTTTTCTGATGGTGGGAGTATCAGGTTCTGTCAAGGCTCATACAAAAGGACCTTGCAATAGGACAAGCTTTTGATCACTGATGTCATCTTGTATAATATTTTAGATATGTACTACTAATCATCATTAGTCTGTTTAAACCCATTAATGCTATAAAGAACCATGGGAAAATGCCACATGCAAGTATCCATGCTACATGCAGTTGAGCCTGCTCTGTGTTATGTGCTAAGCAGTTGTTTGAGGGGTTACAGCCCCTGAGAAGTAGGATCAAAGTCTCATCACAGCCTCATATCCTGAAAAATTGTGTGTGCCATTGCCCAAATCCTGGCAAGTGGGGAAATCATGTTTCCTGTGCTTGTGTTTTTGTTTTTTTTTAATTCAAGTGGCTCTGTGCCTGGTACCCTCTACTTGGTTCAGTTTGGCATGCAAAAAATCCTTTGTCATTAGGTTATGTTTACGTAGATATATGTAAACAAATGTTATTTGCATTTCTTAAATCCAGGCTCGGTTATTTACACTTGTAAATGGATATTTTTTTCGTAAGTGACTTCAACGTATAACAGTAATATTATTCTTACTAATATGTTTAAGAAATAACCATATTTGAATTCATTTATACATTTCCACTTTTACACTTAAACAGGAGGAACGAGAAGCTGCAGAGAAGGAAAGAGAGGAGATTGACAAGCTGAGAAACATGACGGAGGAAGAGAGACGAATTGAGTTGCGCAACAATCCCAAGGTGAGAGGTTGGCGTACGTTAATGAATAATAATAAGCGGTCGCAATGTATAGTAAGGATAAATATAGTATAATACGTGTTATTATACATATCAGTATCAAAGCCATGAACCGTTACTTTATTGGTATATATATGGCATGAAAACTAGCCCATTGGGAGTTCACATGTGTTTTGTGCTGCTATATTTACATGTACCCCAAAATTTAGCTTTTTGGGACAGTAGAGGGCTAAGTATCCATAATATTTATTAATGGCAGAGGACTATAAGTACAAAACATATTGATGATTTTATTTTCCAAAGATTGCTTAAAAAAATTATGTACCAGCAACGTTACAGACTTGTAATCATTAATATGAATAAATTTTCAACAAAACATTTTTCCATTCTGCTATCTAATTCTATTTTTGTTATGCTTTCATTCAGTTTTGCATGATTATGATTAACACCCAATCTCCCTTTTCCTAGGTAATCACCAACAAAGCTACGAAAGGGAAATACAAGTTCCTGCAGAAGTACTACCACCGTGGTGCCTTCTTCCTGGATGAGGAGGAGGATGTGTTCAAGAGGGACTTCTCCGGAGCAACACTTGAAGATCACTTTGATAAGACTATTCTGCCTAAAGTGAGTGAATTTTTAAGGTATTTTATTATTTGTGCATGAGAGAGAGAGAGTGAGTGAGTGAGTGAGTGAGTGAGTGAGTGAGTGAGAGTGAGAGTGAGTGAGTGTAATTTGAGGTGAATTGTCTATTTTCTAGTTTTATTTATTTATTTTTTCATTTCTTATCTTCCTTTTCTTTTATTTTTTGTCTTTGTTTATATTATATATATATTTATATTTATATTTATATATATGTACCTATTTATGCATTTATTTGACTTTGCATGAACAATTATCAATAAAAGAAATAAAAATTCTTAAAACCCAAAATTTCTGCCCCAGGTCATGCAAGTCAAGAACTTTGGCCGCTCGGGTCGGACCAAGTACACGCACCTTGTAGACCAGGACACCACCTCATTTGACTCCCCCTGGGCTGCTGACTCGCAAATGAACCACAAGTTCTTCAATGGCAATGCAGGCGGGATGAAGCAGATGTTCGACAGGCCTACTGTCAAGAAGCGTGCTGCCCCAGCTGCCAACAACAATGCCAATGTCCGGAAGTAAAGAGAGGATTGGTGTGAGGGAGGGAAGGGTGACAGGAGGAAAGGATGGGAAGAACTGAAGAAAGAATAAAGTGGAACATAAATGGTGTAAATTGGACAAGAAGGGAGATAGTGGTTCTTTGCTTTGGGTACAAATGACCCTTACAAATTGCATTTGTTGCAGACAGAGTTGCAGTTTTTTGTATTTGAAAATATGATAGAAATGCCCCTTAAGAGTAAAATTGAAATGGTAGGAATATGAAAGAAGTTCACCCACACTCATTGACATGTATAACAGCTACACTTACACACTTGCTCATTTTCTGTTTTTGCCTCTCTTTATTCATTCATTTTTAATAGTTCATTCATTCATTCATCAAATCATAAAAACAGAAAAATTCATAAATCCATAAAAAGAGATGCCTGTTTGGCCTTATCACTAATTCAGCAGACAAACACACACGCAACTAGAGTACATACACTACCATATTTAGTTTTAAATAACTGTATATGATGCATATATTATCAGATCCAGGGGGAGCAATTAGTACTACCTTCACACATTTATTGAAGGCATAAAAATTGCAATTGATAGTGAATAAATAATAATTATAATTGACTAATTTTATTGAATGTGAAGAATCATGAAAGATAGATGCATATTCTTGTAATTTTCCTCAAGATTACTGGTAGAAGTTGTGACTTGTCCAGACATGTTTTTATTAAGAGTACATTATGTGTACTTTACTAATCATGTTCAATTACATTGTACATTTCTTGACATGCAACTTATTTTATTTTACATTTTTTGTTTTAGGAATAGGGGGTTAACTGTGAAGCAGTAAAGTCATTTTGTATGAATGTGTGAATTTATGATATTGATTTTGTAATAAAGTAGCATAAAACTTTAAGGAAACTCTTATGCTTCTTCTTTCCTCTGAGTACTGTATGAACTTTAAGAATGGCAGGCTCATTTTATAGTACAAAGGTGTTGATTTTTTTCATTTATAGCTATAGAAGTTCCTATTTAAGATTTAGATAATGTTTTAGCCGAGAAAACAAAGACGAAACCATTTGTTTACCAAGTAGTTTGTCAGCTTGTGATGTCATTTCTATTTGTGTCTCCATTGACCATGCCCACTTGTTGTGTGGACAGGCCTTTAGTCAAGGAAGTATATTGTTACATCATGTTTTTCAATGAAATAAGATTGGCAGACAATGATTATTAACCCATTCACGCCGGGCGTCACGTATACATTACAGGCTCACTGTGAGTTTACTTGCTTAATTGTTTACAAACATAGATGGCTCCACTTGCACTTGTACTGCCCGTCTCGCCTGTTTACCCTTTTCTTTAATTTACGAAATTATTTTGCGTTATCTTATTTTGCTGTTGCTAATGTTTATTTATTATAGTAATTATAATGTTTATAATGAAAATAACCATCGATATTCATAGCATTAGTAAAAATACATTTTCCCGCCAAATGAAATCAGGTAAAGCAGAGCCATCTAGTGTAGAGAAATTTCATTAAAAAATATAAAAAATGAGCACAGCATTTTCCCCATTTTTTGTTCATTTTTACCCGGCACAAATGGGTTAACCTGGTTTATTGAGAGAATGTTTATATTACTGCCTGATTATATTCTTATTTTAATAAATGATTATAATACATATATAGATGTGTGTGCATGTGTTTGTGTGAGAAAGATGGAGAGTAAGAAAAGGAGAAAAGGAGAGAGAGAGAGAGAGAGAGAGAGAGAGAGAGAGAGAGAGAGAGAGAGAGAGAGAGAGAGAGAGAGAGAGAGAGAGAAAAAAAGAAAGAAAAAGAAGACAGTGAGAGAAGACAAAGATAGAGAGAATTACCCACCTAGAGAACAGCAAGTTCCAACCTGTTGAAATTGTTTTCATCTCAAGCAGTAGGATAGTATTATGATGAACTATAGCCAGTTGTGCTCATGTAATTAACCCCCCCCCCCCCCCCCCCCAAACCTTATTATTCTTTAACCATGACCAATATCGTTTGTTCCAAAGAGCATAAAACTCAAAGGAAACTTTTACTCTTATTCTTTCTTTCCTAAGGTTTATAATTAATTACCCCCTTGAGTACTGTATGAACTTATATAGTGGCAGGCTCAATTTTATTGTAAGGAGGTGTCAATTCAATCCATTTATTGCTATGGAAGTTCCCATTTCTGAGATCTAACTAATGTTTTAGGACAGTTTGCACTATCCACACAACTGTAGAAGTTACGCCACAGCCGAAAAAACAATGAGGAAAAAATTTGTTAACTAAGTAGTTTGTCTGCCTGTGATGCCATGACCAAAATCGTTTGTCTCAAAGAGCTGCAGTAAATTAATGTTTGTTAATCATCCATAAATCAATGATTTTAGATTCCTGGCCCTGAGTATATGAAGGAGGAGGTAGAGCAGGAACATATTGAAGGAGAAGGAAAATATCAAGGGGTGGGAGAATGTGAAGAAGTGGAAACAGAATGGTTAATGGTTAATGGTTAAAAGCAAGATAAATGTGCTAGACATCTAAGGTCATGTAGCACTATAGTTAATGTTAGTGAAGGGTGGTTGAGTTAGTGGTTAATTGTCTAAGCTGGGCAAAGGAATTGGTAAGTGAAAGGGTTAAGGTTAGATGTTAGATTAGGTAAAGGATATGTATGTGTTTGAGGAAAGAGAATAGGTTATTGATGCAGAAAGTGTGGGATTCTGTAAGGATGTCTGATAGGTTGGGAGGTCGGTGAAGGGAGGATAGGTGGGGGAAAGCAGAGGTACGGGCTGTTTCAAAACGTGGGCACGATAATAGGATGTGTGGGATAGAAAGGGGAACATTACATAAGGAACATAGGGGTGGATCAGATTGTGACATCAGATAGGAGTGTGTTAGACGGGTGTGTCCAATGCGTAAACGGGCGAGGGCGGTCTCCCAACGTCTGTTCCGATGAAATGGAGCTGACCAGGAGGAGATTGATAGTTTTACAGAATGTAATTTATTGGTGTGGAGTCTTGACCAAAAGGATTGCCATCGGTTATACAAGAAGGTCTTAAAGTGTGGGTAATAATCCGTGGCTGGTATACGTGAGAAGCGTGGTTGGTATGATGTGGACATAGCAGCGTGGCGTGCTAGTGTATCTGCCTGTTCATTGCCGGGGATTCCAACATGGCTGGGCACCCAGCAAAATTTGATTATTTTATGGCGTGTGGACAGGTAGAACAACCAGTTCTGGATCTTACAAACAAGGGGGTTAGTGGTGTGTATTGACTTTATGAGAGTTAATGAGCTACGGGAGTCAGTAAAAATTGTAAAAGAGGAAGAGGAGAGTGAGTATATGTGTTTTAGGGCAAAAAGGAGTGCATACAGTTCTGTAGTAAGGACACTGGATTCAGGAGGAAGGGAGTATTTGAAAGTACGAGTTGGGAATATTACTGCAAAACCAGCACCAGAGGTGGATTTAGAGCCATCAGTATATACGTGTATACTAGAGGAATGAGTGGAGACATGGTCAAGGAAATGGATGAGAAGGACAGTAGGAGGAATATTTGATTTTGGTGGGTCGGGGAAAACAGAAGAGCAAATATGGGGTTGAGGTATAAGCCATGGAGGGACGGAATGTACAGAGAACGGGAGAGGTTGGAGTTGGGGGAAAGGGGAATGGGAGAGGAGGGTATCCATGCGAGTGGAGAAAGGAGTAGGTAATCGTGGAGATGAAGCTAAAGTAGGAAGTAGGGATTGTGGGATAGTTAGTTTAGCGAGGGAAAGTTGGTGGAATCGAACATAACATCGGAGAGAGAGAAGGGCACGACGTCGAGATAGAGATGGTATGCCTGATTCAGTATATAGGCTCTCAACTGGAGAGGAGCGGAAGGCGCCTAGTGCTAAGCGAAGACCACAGTGGTGGATTGTGTCGAGATGGGCAAGGAGAGAAGTTGAGGCAGAGGAGTAGATATGGCATCCATAATCAAGAGTGGAGAGGATCAAAGTAACATGAAGATGAAGAAGAGTTTTGCGATCTGAGCCCCATGATATATGGGATAGAGTTTTTAAAATTCGAAGGCGGCGGAGAGCTTTCTCTTTAATGTGTAGAATATGGTCTCGCCAGGTCAGTTTGGAGTCAAAAATGACGCCTAGGAATTTGCCAGAGGAACGGCTTTGGAGTGGAGTGCCATATAATAAGAGTGGGGGTAGGGGACCTATACGTGAGCGAGAGAAAAGGATGGAGAAAGATTTAGAGGTAGAAAAGCGGAAGCCATGGTTTGTGGCCCAGGAAGATACTGATGAGATTGCAGATTGAAGAAATTGGTAGAGATTTGGTATGGATGTGCCTGAGGCATAGATGGTTAAATCATCAACATATAGTGATGATCGGGCTCCTGGTGGTAAAACTGAGACAATATCATTAACAGCAAGAAGGAATAAAGTGGTACTGAGTACACTGCCTTTTGGGGCCCCTTCGATTTGAGGAAAGAAAGATGATGTGGCAGTAGCAATTTTGACCAGAAAAGTGCGTTGGGAGAGGAAAGACTTTATGAAGACACCCATGTTTCCACGTATGCCTAGAGACGTCAATTGTTGGAGAATATGGTACCGCCATGTCGTATCATATGCCTTTTCTAGATCAAAGAATATAGCTAGTACAGATTCATGGCGTGCAAATGCAGATGTAATATATGTCTCAAAATGAGCAAGGGGGTCAGCTGTGCTTCTGGCACGGCGAAAACCGAATTGGGAAGGAGAGAGGAGATTGTGATATTCAAGATACCACATTAAGCGGAAGTTCACCATTCGCTCTAATAGTTTGCATAAGCAGCTAGTTAGTGCGATGGGGCGATAGTCTTGAGGGAGGGTACCCGATTTATTGGGTTTCAGGAAGGGAAGGATAAGAGCTTCTCGCCAATTAGAAGGAAAATTTCCTGATGTCCATATGTGGTTGTAAATTTTTAATAGGAAGGATAAGGAGGAAGATGGGAGTTGCCGAAGCATACGGTAGTGAATACCATCAGGGCCTTCATGAGTGTTGCGGCACGATTGTAGGGCAGCAATGAGTTCAGAGGAAGAAAATGGAGCATTATAGGACTCAGCAGAGGATGGGTGAAGGTAATGGGGGTACTTTCTCTGGTGGTTTTGATAGAAGAGAAGTGTGGAGAGAGGTGAGAACCACTACTGACCTGGCTGAAATAATCACCCAGTTCATTAGCGACTTGGAGAGGTTCAGAAATGAGGGTATTTTGAATATGGAGGACGGGGGTAGGATGGGGGGGATGTTTGCCTGATAGTTTATGGATTCGTCGCCAAACATTTGAGATAGATGTAGAGGATGTAATTGATGAAACATAATTTCGCCAGCTATTTGTTTTACTATTCCGAATTGTACGCCGAAGACAGGCAGATGCTCTTTTAAAGGAGATAAGGGCTGATAGTTGATTTGGAGTACCTCTTTTGTAGCGATAACTGTTCCAGGCTGCACGTTTTAAGCGAAGTGCTTTAGTGCAATCAGAATTCCACCATGGAACACATTTAGAGGTATATGGTCTTGAGGTTCGAGGGATAGCTGTATGTGCAGCTCTTAAGACTGTAGTTGTGAAATACTGTATCATTTCTGAAATGGAGGTGAGGGAGGAAGGAGGGTTATGAATAGCAGAGAGTGAAGTGAAAGTATGCCAGTCGGCTCTATCAAAGCACCAACGTGGGAGTTAGGAAGTGGTACGTATGAAGTAGGAGAAAGGAGAACTGGAAAGTGGTCACTATAGGGAAAGTGGTCTAATACTGACCAGTGGAAATCTAAGTGAAGGGAAGGGGAGCATAGGGAGAGGTCAATGCATGAAAAAGATTGTGTGCGTGTATCAAAGTGTGTGGGGCGATCTGAATTTAGAATTGTAAGGTCAGCTGTGGAGAGAAAGCGCTCTAGAGATCGGCCTCGGGAGTTGGTGATAGAATCACCCCAAAGAGTGTGGTGGCAGTTAAAGTCACCAACTATGAGGAAAGGTGGTTGAAGTTGGGAAATTAGATTTTCAAAAGCAACAAAGTCAATGGGGTGGGAAGGGGAGAAGTAGACTGAAATCACTGTGATCCAACGATGAAGGAAGATACGAATGACTGTACAAGGGACATTGGTTTGAAAGGTAGGTGTGACATAAGGTGTTTTCTGATTGATGAGTATGGACGAGACATAAAGGGAATGTGGGGAAGAGACAAAATGGTAATTGGGGATTGGTATTGGAGGATGTGTGAGAAAGGTTTCTTGGAGACATACAATAGATGGGTTATAAGAGGAAAGGATATGACGAAGGTCAGGTCTGTGGGAGCGGAAACCGCGAATATTCCAATGAAGGATAGTTATACTTTCGTTGATTTAGTGATATAGATTGTAGTACGTGTTGGAGAATTTGAAGGGGTAGTAGCTAGAGGGTGGGATAAGGACTGAGAGGTTTGAGATGGGAGAGGTGTGGGAGTTGGTGTTCTATCAGGATGGGTATTAGGAGATGGAGGGTCAGGGGATATTTGTGACATACTATCAGGATGGGTATTAGGAGATGGAGGGTCTGAGGAAGGGGATACTTGTGACATAAGGGATTCACGTGTGTATCCAGGAGGGAGTGGAAGGGATAGAGGGGATGGTGGGAGGGTTAATGTGGGTGGGGTTGGAGTCAGGGGGGATGGGCTGTGTTGGGAGGGGGTAGGAGGATAGGGTGTAGGGGGAATATCGTTAGGTGGAGGATGGATATCGGCAGTCACTTGGTGTGTGGAGGGATCAGAAGTTGTAGGTTGAGTGTCAGTTTTCATTATGTATTCTTGAATGTTTTCAATAGTTTCTTCTGTGGAGTTGGTTGGGGAGTTTTGGGGGATAAAGGATTTCTTATGAGGGGGGAGGAGAGGACTGGTGTTTCTGGTGGAGGTGATTGTGTGGTTGGGGAAGAGGGGGTGGAACGTTTGTTCTGTCTGTTTCGGGTAGTGCGAGGAGGGAGGGGGGAAGGTGTTAAGGTTGTAGTGGTGATTGGAGTATCTGTAGTGGAGATGGGAGTGTCTGGGTTTAGGATGGCAAAAGAGTTTGATTGGGGAAGGTAGGATGTAGAAGTGGGGGGGTTAGATGTAGGAGGGGTGGGTTTAGGAGAAGTGGTAGAAGTGGTAGAATGGGCTGTATTAATGGAGTAAGGAGTAAGAGAGAAACCACGTCGTCGTGCTTCCTGTCTGGCTTCACGCAGTGTGAGTCCAAGTCTGAATCTGAGAGTTGCTACCTCAGATTCAAATTTGTAGGTGGGACAGCCCCTATAAAATACATTATGGGGGCCGCCACAGTTGGCACATGTGCGTGAGTTTGCAGGGCAGTTAGATCGGATATGGCCAGTTTGGGCACATAGTGGACATCTGGCTGTGGAACGGCAATGTTTGGCTGGGTGTCCTAGACGCCAGCAATTTTGGCACTGACGTGGGGGAGGTTGGTATGGGCGGACAGGGAGGGATTCTCCTCCTATGTAGACGTTAAAGGGAAGGTCATGTCTACGGAAGGTAATTTTGGCGATGTTAGTGGGTTTCTTACGATGACCTCTGGGAGGGATGGAGTAACATTGTACTGATGTCGCATCGTAGTCTGTGAGACAGGCGAGTAAGTCTTCTCCACAATCTGACCAATCTTTGTCATAGATTGGGCAGTTTTCTGGGGAGATAGATACGGTTCCAGTGCAAGTATTGAGAGTTGGATGGGGTTCTGCAAGGATAAGGTTACCATATAAATCAGTTAGTTTTGCTAATGCTATAGCTTGATTTTCTGATGTTACTGTGACAAGACGGGAGCGGTCGGGTCGGCTACGGAAAGAAACTTTACCTACTTGTTTTTGTAGACATTGTTGGAAGAGAAGGGTGTTGTCAGAGTAGGGAGCTGTGGGAGGGATCACGAAAAATCGGTCCCATTTGGCTGCACTAAAGAGAGTGTTCAAGATTGTTGTAGGGGTGGTAGAGGGGCGGGGGCGTGACGAAGATGGAGTAGTGTTGATGGAGGTAGTGTTACGGAGAGGTGGGCAATAAGGCTGTAAGGTAATAAGGGAGGATGGAGTGGTTGATGTTGGAGGTTGTGGGGGTAGAGGTGTTGAAGTTGAGCTTGTTGGGAGAGTGGAAATGTTCCTTGAGGGTTGGTTGTTGGCTATTGTACTATTAGGCATTGATGAAGGGGTATTTATTACAGTGTTCGGAGCCGTGGTCAAAGGAGAGCCTGGGGTCTGGGAATCGGGTGGGTTTTCTTCGTTGGGGCTATTTGATAAAGGGGCAAGCCTCATTGCCCCTAATAGTGGAGATAGATTTTCATTATTGGCCATGGTAAGCCTGGATGATGTTGGGGATAAAAACAGTCCACCCCTCAGGGTCCCCTTGAGGGGTAAGGGCTAGAACTAAATCAGGGGAATACCGTGCCCATGGTTCCCTCAGGCCGTTCAGGACTGGCACTAAGTCAGCCTTTCATCCTTTCAGCACGGCTCTCACACCTTAGGAGGTGGATAGCAGAAGGGTTTGGTGAAGGGATAGAAACAAAAGTGGGAAGGGAAAAAGGCCATGCATAATTAGTTGAGTCGAGGGCTGAGTCCCAAGGTTGGGGAGTTCCCATCATTGGGTCCCAGTCTCCGCCTCCTAAGCCCCCCCACGACAACAACGGGCAAGGGATTGGGGGGGAGTGGAAACAGAAGAAAGATATGAAGCCAAAATTAATTTCATTTTTATTATTTGTCAGGCTTTACAATTACTACATATATAAAAATATACATACATACATCTACAGAGCTAACACTGTTCAGCATGTTCAGAAAGACATAAACACTAGGGAAAAGAATGACCTAAGACTAATAAAATCTTGAATATATGACAATTATAATACATATACATACAAAAAAACAAAACATACTGGCTATGGATTATTGAAGCAGTCAACATTTTCAGCTCTTCAGCATGCTTACTTCCTTCACTTAAAGATGTATTTACTAAAGGAGAAGGAAAGTAAAAGTTTTGCTCAGCTACAGTGATCAGATCATCAATGGAATGACAGCTTAGATGTTAAATATAAGGATCTTAATAGTATTCAACAATATAATAATACTGCTTAACATCAGAAGGTACATTCTACATTCTTCTGATGTTATTTTGTCTTTAATGGCACATGAAAGTACTGGCTGTGTCACTACCTAGTTTTTCTTATTCCTCCCCCAATACAAATCATTTCAACAGTTCAGTTGACGAAGCTCAAGATTTCACAGACTGCCACTTGAGTTGCTA